CCTCCTCACATTACCCCCTCCTCCTTCTCACATTACCCCCCTCCTCCTCCTCACATTACCAGCCCTCCTCCTTCTCACATTACTCCTCCTCCTTCTCACATTACCCTCCCTCCTTCTCAAGTTACCCCCCTCACTCACATTACCATCACCCCCCACACCATCACCTCCATGTCACCATCACCTCCCTGTCACCATCACCCGCCTCTCACCATCACCCGCCTCTCCTTCTCACCATCACCCCCCCCATACACACAACACACTTCAAGCAGCTACCCCATACACATGGGGTCTCAGACAAAAATGCAAACATGCTCATAGAGACATACATTCACTCTCATTGAGGGTGGTGAGGGAGCCTACCTTCTCTTCCCTGGTGGTCCAGTGGCCACCGCAGAGCTGCAGACCGTGTAATATCGCGAGACCATCAGAGCGTTGCCGTGGTAACCCTCGGCAATGCTCTGATTGGCCAATTCTCGCGAGACACATGGTCTGCAGCTCTGCTCACTGCGGAGCTGCAGACCTGTGTCTGCGATGGTGGCCGGGCAGCCAGGAGGGCTGACCGAGGACCTGACACAGTCTGCCATAAGGCGGTTTAGGCGGCCGCGAGGCCCCAGCCAGCGTGAGGCCTTAGGCGGCCGCCTAAACCGCCTAATTAGAGAGCTGCCTCTGTTTGCGGTTGTTTGTGGTGCGTTAAACAGGGAGTTTGGTCTGTCACTGTGAAGCAGGAGTAACCCTTACACTACCTGATCGATACAACATCATACCTGATGTTTTAAAGCACGTTATTCCAAACATTTTAGGAATGTTACGTGATTTATGCCCTTTATGGATTAAAACCAGACTCTGCATCAACTATGTAATTTTCCATGGGAGTTTTGCCATGGATCCCCCTCCGGCATGCCAGAGTCCAGGTGTTAGTCCCCTTGAAACAACTTTTCCATCACTATTGTGGCCAGAAAGAGTCCCTGTGGGTTTTAAAATTAGACTGCCTATTATGTTCGCGACATCACTAAAAGCTACACATGTTTATTTAGTAATTGAAATACAGGTCTATCTGATCATTATGGTGTATGTGTGTGGTTTACATGTTTTCACATTTTTCTAAACATGTTTATATTCTTTTTTTTTTTCTTCAGAAAAAATGTTACTGTGCTGCTTGTTGCTTTTGGTCTTAATTAGTGTGACGAATTCTGCCAAAACATGTGAGAATGAATATGATTGTCCCAAAGATTACCAGGATGTCTACGCAGACAAAACAGTGACTGACATACCCAAGTCTGTACAGCCAAATATAAAAGAGATATTTTTTGTACAGACTGCAATATCAACTATCAGAAAGGATGCCTTCAAGTACATGCCTCATTTGGAAAGAATATTTTTTATTTTTAATATGATTCAAACAGTTGAGCCTGGAGCCTTTGATAACCTTACAAAACTAGTTGAATTGGAGATTTCAGGTCATGAGAAACTGGAGGATCTAAAATTTGGAATCTTCAACAACTTAAGTAGTTTGAAAAAACTTGTCCTTAAAAACAATAAAATAAATCAAGTAGAAAAGGGAATTTTTGATGATCTAGGAAATTTGGAAGAGCTATATTTGAATGTTAATCAGCTTCCTACATTGCCGTTAGGCCTGTTTGATTCACTTGCTAATTTAACAGTACTACACCTTGCCAAAAATAAAGTCTCTTCTTTACAAAAGGATGAGTTTAGTAATCTGCCAAAACTGAAAATCCTTCGCCTCTACGAGAATGAACTGAGTGATCTTCCAGAAAATTTATTGGACAATAACCCAGCACTGACTGAGTTCAGTGTCTCAAACAACAAAATAAACCATTGGCCCAAAGATTTTCTGGCCAAATCCTTGAATCTTGAAAAACTCCATATGGATGGGAACAACATAGAAGAACTTCCAAATGAGCCATTTTTTGGATTGAACAAAATTAAGCAGCTTAAACTTAGTGGTAATAAACTCAAAAAGCTCCCGGATCAACTTACAGATAACATGCCCCTTCTTTCTGAATTTGATTTGAGCCAGAACACTCTAACCACTCTTCCAACTGGTGTATTTAAGAACATGAAATCCTTAACAAAACTCATTATTTCTTCTAACAAAATACACACTCTTAAAAGGGAGATGTTTTCAGGTCTTGAAAAATTAGTTGACTTGAATTTAGAAAATAATTTACTTTCATCCTTAGATAATGATATTTTTTCCATGATGCCCAAGTTGAAGACTATTAGACTTGGAAGAAATCAATTTACAAACCTACCTTCAGGACTTTTGAGCTCATTCGTTACACCTATAACTGGAGTTTACTTAAAGGATAATCCTTGGATATGTGATTGTCACCTTGAAAGTCTGTTTAATTGGATGAAGAGCAAGAAAAAAATGGCAAAAGATGCAGATAAATTAGTATGTGAAAATCCAAATCACCTCAAAGGACAAACTATCACTTCACTGGGGAAGGATCAATTAGTTTGTCTAACTACTCAAGTTACAACTACTTTTAGAACAACTGTTCCCACTATGAAGATTCCAACAACCAGCAAGTTGATCACTACACGCTATCCAACTACTTACCCAACTACCATTCAAGTCAAAAGTACTCCACATATAACAACACCTTTTGAAACCACAACCTTGTTACCCACTACTTTGGAAATAACAACTGATTCAGTGTCAACACGTCCACTGACCACAACTAAAGAGATTACAACTACACATCCACAAACTACAGAAGTTACAACACAACAATTAACAACTATTTTGTCTACAGTACTTGCCACAACTTTGGCAAAAACTACCACTCCTATGATAACAACTGTGGAGACCACAGCCCTTGGGACCACAACACCTGAAATAACCACTTTAATACCATCAACAACAACAGAGTCTACAACACCTGTAAGGGCCTCCACCACAATTGAAATCACCAAGCCGGATATAACCACTTTAATACCATCAACAAGAACAGAGTCTACAACAAATGTAAGAGCCTCCACCACAATTGAAATCACCACGCCGGATATAACCACTTTAATGCCATCAACAACAACAGAGTCTACAACACCTGTAAAGACCTCTACAACAATTGAAACCACTATGTCTGACATAACCACTTTACTACAAACTACAACAACGCTGTCAATGACACCCATAGGAACCACAACATATGAAATAACTACTTTAATGCACACTACTACAATAGAGGGTACAACATCTGTACAGACCACCACAGCTATGGAGACATCAAGCACTCAAATTGATACAACAACTTTAGAAACTACAAGCATGCTACAAACTACAATGACAACACAAGGCATAACAACTGAAGAGTCTACAACAGTTCCATATACATCACTAGGAACCAGTGAAGCACAAACAACAATATCCAACATGACCTCTCCTTGGCAACAAACCACCATATTTACTACATTGGGGAGTACACCCAAAATGACACCTACAGACACTACCTCCCAAACAACAACTATATATGCATCAACAATGCTTATGGTGAAATCTGTTTCAACAAAAATTAGTAAAAGCCTGTTGAGTACTGTTCCTTCAGTGGCAACCATGTTGTGGCCTACAATTTCATTTTTATCCACAGGAACTACCTTGTCATACAGTGAAGACGAGAATACTACAAACTTCACATCACTTGAAGCAACATTTGAAGCCTGGGATACGTTTTCAGGACAAAATTTACATCACTGCAAAATTTTATTTGCTTCCTATCTTGTCCTACTCTGCATAGAAATCTGTACGACAGTCTTTTTAGTAACATTTACGTATACCCTGCACAAATCTATTCGTAGTGTAAGAATTCCAAAACGTCCTGTGAAACTAGTGTGGATGTATACGAAAAAAGATAAAACATAAGTAAGTATATGAAAAGGTTTTTTAAAAAAAAAAAAATGTTTTATGAAGTCTAACACATGATGCCTGTCTGTGATCATTTACATCACTACTTTGTTTGGAGTGGGAGGGGGTGTTGTATTTTTTGTCACATATTAGTTGTGGATGCTTTGGGTCTAAGATTTCTATTTTGTACGTCTTTGTTAAATGACAAAAAACAGACCCTGTGTGAGATATTGCAAATTAAAGGTCCCTGTAAACAATCTAAAGCTTTGCATTTTCCAAATGTTTTTATAAAGGATGAACGATAGTAAAAAAAAAGTGTAAATTTGCATAATTTAAATTTTTATGTTTGTCTGCAAAACATACCAAATATCTCTGCTTTGATATGTTTATTTGCAAACTATGCATTCTTTGCTTCAAATACATGTAATGCTAATATTTATTTTTCAAACAAAACATACTAAGGTTAATGAAGGTATTGTACTCTTGACATCCATTTCTCCATGTGAACACAAGATGGCACTCTTGTATATCACATAACAACTTGGGGCTGTCCATCAAGGGGTAGTTTATTACACCAAGTGATTTAATAAAATGAATCACCACCTGAAAATTAGGCAGTTAAAGAAAAAAAAAATCCCTAGTTTTCTTTATTTAAAATCCACTTGTCTATGGTGGCATTGGACAACATATCTGTTTTTATATTCCTTCATAATAGATAAGAATATCCGTTATAATTAATATAATTATTATTGTATTATTTATCAAGCACCAGCAAATTCCGTAGCGCTGTACAATGGGTGGTGCTATATAAATAATAAAATAATAATAATACTAACAGACACATAATTGTAACCGGACAAGTTGGACGCACAGAAACAGAGGGGCTGAGGGCCGTGCTCAATGAGCTTACATGCTAGAAGGAGTGGGGTAATGTGACACAAAAAGGTAAGGATAGTATTAGGGAAGTAGATTGGTAGAATAGTATTCAATGAAGACTTAGTGAGGGGTTTTTTGGAGCCATTAACAGTTTTATTAATACGCTTTAGTGAAAAAGTGAGTTTTTAATGATTTTTTTGAAGGAGTGGAGTCTGGGTGAGTGTCTAACGGAAAAGGGAAGCATCAACAGAAAGACACATTTTATTTTTCAACCATTGAGTATTGGAATGCAGTTAACCCTCTGGCATACAAGGAGTTAAAATAATATCTGCAAGTGTGTGTGTATGTAAGGATTGCTCCTTGAAGACAACTCTCATTCATCTTCTAAGATGTCAACGGGATAGAATGTGTCTCAGTCTGTCTCTGTACTTTTGCTACCAGTGGAATGCAGCAATGGAAAATAAAATGTTGCTCTTAATCTCTGTGACTGTGATTTTATTTATTGTATTCGTTTTATATACAATTGTCTATATGCATTCTATACTTTCGTGTTAATATCAGTATATTCCTAATAGCTGACAAGTCTATATTGCTCAATATATACAATATTCTATTTATATTTTTTATCTTAAATAGGGACACTTGGGACATACATATATAATTTTACATAGTTTGCTACACACATATATAGATATGTATTTATTTTCAAATAAAAGGCAAACTGTCAAACTGTTATTGAAAATGTTGTCACAGTGGACATTCATTGTATTCATACAATAAACTAATCTTATGTTTTATAAAATTTAATGCTAAATGTTATTTACTCACATTTTGTCACTGATTTATTAACCACTTGTTATGTGGTACAAAATAAGAGACTAATATATGTGCATTGGGTTTTAGTTTCCATTTTGGAGCCTATTTCCAAGGGGAAAAGATGATTACTTATGGGCTTAGAACAGCTTCTCTTGACTATCAATATAGCTAAGTATTAATTAAGTGTAAATTACTTTTACCTAGGTGAAAGCTATGAAGGGATTTTAGGAAAAGGTAAGGGGACAGTCCAGGAGCCATAACTAATACAGCTTGCAGTAGTGGTTAGAGTTCTATGAGTGCCCTGGTGCCTCCCCTCCCCCCATGATAAAGTTGAGTTTTAGAGAGATTGCTTCCCATGGAAAGTCTTGAGTGAAGTGAGACTTGCCTGTGAGGGTGCTCCAATCAGTTGATTTCCAAGCTAACCGATCATATCGTTGTACTAAGATTTCAAAATGTGGCAAAGCCGTTATCTATGTTTTTCCCGCCTTCAAAGCTCATTCTGCGCAATGCACTCTGGGACTTAAATGGATTTATTTTTGTAATGGTGGGGTTTCCGTTTTTTTTTTTCTCGTTTTTTTTTGTTGTTTTATTAATAGCAACGTTGGGAATTAAACTCCTTAAGGATAAAGCTTCAGAAGATTGTATTACCTTTAAGGACACAAGCAATGTTTGCATTTTTTTGCTGTTTGTGTTCAACCGCATTTATTGCACCAACACATACCGTATTTTAGAGGACAAAAAGGGCTTTAATTAAATGTCACATATACATATATATAAATTCTCATTAATTATAAAAAAAATGGTGTATATTTTGCCTTAACTTGTCACCATTTTATGCCAATGTTTGTGGTGAGTAAAAAAAATGAATTTTCTTACATACATATTGCATTTTTCCTGGTATTTCTTACACTTGATATGTACCACTATCATAAAATCCCCCAAATTATGCTCAGTTACATCTTCAGAGTAAAACAATATGCACAATGTATGTACATGTACACTATTACACTATTTTGTGAAGTTACAGTGTACACTATTTTGTGAAATTACAGTGCTGTAAAAGATTTTTAAGTGTGAATTTTCATAGATGGTGTTGATGGGTCTGTGTTATACTTTGGAGTACTTTAGCAGGCGACATATTACAACTACACCATAAAGCCATACCATTTCTTAAAGAAGACACCCCAAGTTACTTGAAAAGGCATATTTTGAACCTTTGCATGGGATCATTTTTCCGCTGACTTGTACCAAGGGGAGTGGTAGTAAGCATTTTTTCTGTCTTTTTGACACACAAAGTGAGATTGCACAGAATATTTTGCAAACCTTATGTGTGCTACGGTTGTATAATACGTCACAGGTAGCTCAGCTATGTCGTCTGAGTACAGTAATACCCTTGTATGTACCTTTAACAGGTATATGTGGACGTTGAAGGGGCAATTTTGAGACACAACCATTCCAGTTTTTTTCAAACTTTAAAAAAAAAATGTACGCTGTGTCCATGTCCCATTTTGGAATATTTTAGCAGGTTACAAATTCCAACTACCCCATAAGGGCATACCATTTCTTAAAATGAGGGTTAAAAAAAAATAAAAGTTAACCCTCAGGGGTTAAAAAAATTTGATCACAGTGATCAACTGGTAGGGAAGGAGTTAATTTTTATTAGGACTGGGTAAACGGGGTGGGATTTGTTTTAATTTTTTTTAAAAAGGTATTAATACTTTTTTTGTACTTTTTAAATTTTTTTAAAGTTTTTTAAACCCTTTTTTTAAAACCTTTTTTTACTGCTAACCCCTAGCTAGTCTAACATCAAATTTTCTTATTCCCCACTAACTTCCCCCCACCCCAGCTAGCTAAATATATAATTTTAAAATTTAAATAAATGAATTAAATACATTTTACCACTGATGGTAAAAAAAAAAAAAAAGTTAACCCTCAAGGGTTAAAAAAAATATCACATCAATTGGCAAGGAAGAGGTTAATTTTTATTAAAGCAGGGGAAAGGGGGGCAGGGATTTAGAAACATAGAAACATAGAATGTGACGGCAGATAAGAACCATTCGGCCCATCTAGTCTGCCCAATTTTCTAAATACTTTCATTAGTCCCTAGTCTTATCTTATAGTTAGGATAGCCTTATGCCTATCCCTATTTAACTGAAACTTTTTTTTTTTTTTTTTACACAGGGAGAAGCAGATCACTGCTGATGCAACTTCCTGCACTTCATACTTAACATGGAAGAGCAGGGAGGCGGATCAGGATTCCCTGGAGCACATGTACTCACTCTGACAGGCTGTCAGAGCGATCACAGCTGCAGGGACAGCGCTATCGTATGCTACTGGTCTGCCTCGGATACCGACGCAGACTGGAGGAGCATTAACCCCATGATCGCGGTGATCGCGACGATCTGGAGTTAGGTTTAGAAAATGACTTACATTTTCCGTCATGTGTCCTTAACGGTCGGACAAGCATTATCGAACATTTCCGTCTTGGGTTGGGAAGGGGTTAATGTTTGGTATTTTTTTTCACATGTATTGGATTTTTTACCCTCTTTTTATCATTAAGATACAATTTTTTTTTTTTTTTTATGGTTAGGTGCTTTGGCACTCTTAGCCATCTCATGCTGTTGGGGTGGATTTCAGCCGTCCCGACCAAATTCAGGATCGTTCAGAGCCTACTCTGCAAAATATGGACATTGTATAATAGTGTTAAAAAAGTCTGGATATAGCAATTCAAATGGGCCTGTAAAGTACCTAATGGTTGGACCCCATTCAGTACGGACCATTTGGACTATATTGAATAAACTTGAATGTGCGTTTTGTGGAGGCTACTAAAGGTTATTTTATTCTTTCAGCTTAATATAATTTTATTCAGGAATAAAACTGTATTGCATGAAAACAAAAATATTTTAAAAGCAAAAAATATATAAATTCAGCATACCTATTATAAATATGTGGCATAGTGAAACTTCTTTTAACCACTTAAGGACTCAACTTCTGGAATAAAAGGGAATCATGACGGAATATTCTGTCATGTGTCCTTAAGGGGTTAACTATTTAAACACCAGATGGGCAGACAACACAAATGAAAGTAATGTTCAATAGGTTAAATTGTATGCAGTCATTGTGGGAAAGGTAAGATGGCAGGCCTGAGGAATGTTTGCACAGTCTACAAAATAATGTTTTTCATATGGTTAAAGTAACACTACTGCTTCCATCAATAAAATACGTATTACTCATGTAACAGGGAGAAATTTAGTCATAATATGAGTGGAGAATCCCCTAGTGAGCACGTAACAAATTAAGGGGTGGTCTCCTTGGAGGGAAGTACAACTAAATGGTTACTTTGTGTGGCAGCAGGGGAGGGCCTCATCAGACCTTTTTGGGGGCCCATTCAGCCTTCCAGTCTCTCTCTCCTTTATCCTTTGCAGGTTTTTCCTGTCCTGGTTTCGGTTGTGGGATTGATTGAGTTTTCCCTCTTCTTAGTAGGGATGGTTAGTTGCTTGCATAAGGCTTGCTTAGTCAAGCTCACCACTCTGCCTGGTTTTGTTTTTTAACTTTTCTGTGGTGTTTATTAGTTATTTTGGATAAGCAGCTCCAATGTTCTGTTGAGTGAGAGTTTTGTCCTTTTTCCCTCTCTTGCGACATGGTGCAGAGATGGAGGATGGGAGTATCGACAGGTATCGGTTGGACTGTTTACCCTCTAGGTATTGACCTCTTAGGGTTCTCTTTAAGAGTATTTTGGTAAGGTGCTGTGGCAGAAAATATCCCCTGAGGTCCAGTATGTCTCTGCTTGGGCGGAATGGGAACATGACTGAAGAACGACGTGCGATCCTCTTGTGGTCTGAGGCACACAGTTAGGCCTCAATGCGGCCACGCTAGTCAACAGTTATTCAGTATTAACCCCTTAAGGACACAACTTCAGAAATAAAAGGGAATCATGATGGAATATTTCCGTCATGTGTCCTTAAGGGGTTAATATTGTTATTTATTTTGTCAATTTAAATGTTGGATGCCTTTAATTATTGCTTTTAAAAGCAACCAATGATGTTTTTCTCCCTTGCAATTTTTTGTCCGTTTCTCCTTGTTTTTAGGGGAGGTTTGTAAAATTGTAAGGAGGTTGGCGGTCGGGTTATGTTTTATGTATATAGATGCAGGTAGGGACAATAGGAGATCTACACCTAATGTATGAGAATATATTACTGTGGTCCAATAAACGGCGATTTTTTGGTTTGATTTCTCCATCCTACAGAAAGTTTATTGTGTATATGTATACGTCACTATTTTCACTGTACATATTCTACAGATGAACCATGTGGTTAGGAAAGCCTCATTTTGTGATGATTTATTTTATCACATGTAGATCCTTAAGAGCAATTTAATTGTTTCCTCTTCCTTATCTGGATAATAAGCACCAGATGCTGGCCACTAAACAGCCAGGCAGGCGGTCCTCCAGGATGTGTGCGAACCGGGAGGTGTTAGGCGGAAACACCACATGGACAGCAGAGAAAGGAGGATGCTGGGAAGTTAACAAGAAACTTTAGATGTGGCACATTCACATGCTGTTTGTTATAAGTTACATAAAAAAATGTAAACGAGCAAGAAATTTATGCAGTGTGTTTAACCCTACAACTGCACTGTGGGCATTTGCATCTGTTATTGCTCTGAACGTTCAGAAAAGTAATAAAAAAAAGACAGCATCTGGGAGAGCAAAATGTAAAATTAATAAAAATTTTACTTGTTTTATTCTAAACTCAGTCCCTCCTTTCTACTGTCAATGTTTTCTCAATCTACACACATGCTGGAGGGATTTTGCTGTATGTTCCTCATTTGCTGTGTTTTTACATATATGAATCTTACAATGATAAGTATAAATATGATTAACTTTAATATTTCAGTGTCCTTGTACTTGGATGTATTCTGGTTAACTTTTTCTTGCAGTTTTATATTTTTCTTTTCTGCATTTTTGATTAGTGATGTACTACTTTTGTATATCTTGGGTAAACTTTTTGAGCCATAAAATTCTGAAATTAATAAAATTTCTGCATTGCATTAATTAATTTATACATTATCATATGTTAAACCGTAAAGAGAAGACAGGAAGACAGGCACATGGTTATACATTCCCATTTAAGTTTGAACATTTATTTAGATAGCCTTAATAAACATTGAGTATTATATATATATATAATATAAATTAGGCAGTTAATTAGCAAGTTGAAAGGGTTCCACCCAGACTGATAGTGAAACTGCGATGCCTTTTACTAGTTACTAAACGGTGTCACTGTTTCAAGAGCTTCAAAAAAGTCCTTTTTTTTGTGGTGGAAATGTTATACACCCTTTCAGTGCTGCAGCTAAGATCAGCATAGTGGATATTACAGATATTCATGCTGAACATTACATTTATATTATAATAAATACCATGACTTTGAACCCCTTCCTGTTACAGATTCCTCATTTCAGGGACCTATTTAAAGGGACACTATAGTTACCAAAACAACTTTAGTTTAAAATCAAAGTGTATATAAATCATGCCTCTGAAGCCTTACTGCTCAGTTTGCGGTCATTTAGGTATTGAATCACTTTTGTTTCTGTCCATGCTGCTGTGACCGAGATATCCAATATGAAAAACATGGTTTAATTTTCAATCACATTAGCTTACTCTATAAGTTTTTATACCCTGCTTTGTAAATTAAACTTTAATTACACGCAGGAGACTCCTGCAAAGACTAGCATGCTATTAACAATACAGGAGATAGTAAATTCTAAATTAAACAGACTGTGCAATAAAGGAAGTGTAAACAATAGATCTCAGTTTACATTAATTGTTTAGAAAGCCTGTGTACGTCACATGCAGGGCTGCATAAACAAAGCGATTTCTCTCCTAAATGGTAGAGAATTAAGCAATTAGACTGTGGAGGCAGAATCTATACACTAAAACGGCTTCATTAACCCCTTAAGGACCAAACTTCTGGAATAAAAGGGAATCATGACATGTCTCACATTTCCCTAGTAAGAGGGTTAATCTCATAAGAGCAGGTGATCAGTTACTATGGTAGGACCTGTCAAGAATGTATGATCATATACTGTAACTAAACCCACATTATTTTTGCAGAAGTCAGGTGTTTTAAAAGAAAAACTATAGAATATTGTGAGCTTAGAATGTTGGTGTTGTTTAGTGAGTGAGTGTGCTGGATTTTGTTAGAGACATAGTTTAATTTAGTAAGTGCAATTCACATGTATGTACGTAGTGGGGAATTGCGATGCAGCCTAGAACAAAAACTAACCCCATTCAACCCCCAATAACGACAGACCACGTAGTATGGATGAACAGGCCACAGCATTTATTATAACATAAAATAAATTAATGCATAACACATCCATAACCTTATTTATTAAATCTCTTCTTTTTCTGTAACCAAAACGTTAGACATAAATAAGCATAAATTAACATATATACATATATAACTCCACACATAGTGTTATACAGTGACCCAACCGTCCTTGCCAATAAACATACAGTGGTTCCTAATCACCACTTTCTCTCACCTCCCCCCTCGTCATAAAAATCATATCTTTCCAATGCCCGCCATCAGCCGACCTTATCCACGCTCGATGGGCACGACACCTCAGGCAACCTAATGTTAACCTTTTGAAGCAGGGGAGGTTGAGATCTTAAAAACTTGTTCATCTCATTCCATATACTTAAACGTAACCCCTCAAACTCAATTGGCAAGGACATACCCCCGGCTAGCTGTGACTAAATATACTAATAGGGCGGGCGGGAGGGAAGCTGTTTGCTGGCCCGAATCCCAAGTGGCACTGAGGTAAGACACTAACTTACACAGAACATAATCCCACAAACACACTCTTTCCCATCCAATCCCATGCATCTATCCCCACACTCCTACACGTGTCCTTGTCCGCTTAGCTGCGCTACCTCCCCAGGGCCTGAATCAAAATTATGTAGACTGTGATGAAGGACATAGGAAACTTATGGTGCAAAAGGTAATTTTGATAGAATTGCAGATTTGGCAAGGAAGTCTACCATTATGTGTGTGACCTCTGGACCCTTGAAGAGTCATGCTTCAGCACACAGGAGAGAAGAAACCCCATGTAGAGTAAACATCTGAGGAACCATAGCTTGAACTACCCTTCCCTCTTGGCTTTAATAGGTAAATGCAGAGATGGAAAGAAGCTAACTCTTTTTACATGCTAGATAACAAATAAATGGCATATAACTAAAAAAAAAATAGATTGAGAACTCTAGACCCAGCCATGTCAAAGAACCTCCCCTCGACCACGTTCTCAATCACACTCACACAATATCATTCACTATTACATGACCATAAATAGCAAATCACACAACTTTTAAGCCATAGATATACATATATACATATAAATACACATATATATTCAAATAGACAAACATAAATATATTCAAATATGGAAAGACACATATACACACATACATAACTAGCCAAACACACATAGGTATCCAGACAAAAACACATTGTCCTGAGGTAAGTTGTGAGGTTATCCTGAGTGATATTTCCCGATAGGCTGTGGAGCCTAATGTTGTAACGTTGCCACTGATTCTCAGCATCCACCACTTTCAATGGCAGATACTTTTATTTGTTCTTTAATGTAACAAGTTTATTAACCATTTCATTCAACTTCTCTTCCAGCTGGTCAGTCTGGTACTTCGTGATGCCAGTCTGCAGTAACAGCTCAGAAGACCATTTGAATAGTCAAGTGTAGCTCCTGTAGCATGGTGTTGATATTGCGTACAAATGCTGGGCAGGTTTCAGAGAGTTTACACAGAATCACAAATTCTGAAGCAGTGTCTAAGTGTGGGGATAAGGTAGCTGCCATCCTGTGTGCTTGGAGTGCTCATGTTCGTGCTGGCCAAAATAATTGGGGTCTCCAAAGGTCTATGGTGATGGTTAGGGCCCATTTCTAGAAGGGTGGGAAAGGAGGGTGCAAAGCACACTGGAGAAATTTGCAGAAAATACTGTTTTGTTAGTGTGGCTTAGATTTTGGTGGGAACTACTCATACATGCAGCTGCATGGGTTGGCTACCGGGACATGCAATGATTAGCACTAATGGAAGTTCTCCCTTCCAACCTTGGAAACAGTGCAGGAACTTGGCACTGTGACGGATCCTCTGGTCACCTAAACTGGGTACATGTCTCCCCAAATCTCCACCTCCTCTAAAATGGAGGGCATTTATCATTGATAAAGGGACAGGGGTCCCAAAATATCTGTACTTTGGATGCTCTTAAATTGAAATGTGAGCTGCACTAGTGGGCCCCTATAACTAAGCTGTGCTTTGTGGATTAATACTTTGGATTGCTATATTTGCTTGCTGTTTTTGGACTTCAGCAGCTTATACACAATAGCTGCACTAGGTTAAACTATTTTGCCGTTTGGTATTGTGTTATACCACACCCCTAGATCATATTTTTCCTCTAAAAAGACTATAAACACTATGGATTAACCCTCCAACCCATGTCTCCCAACATAGCGCCCCTTATCTTTCTGTCTGGAACTACTTTTTCTCCAACAGGGAGCCACTAAGACATGGTGCACCTGACAGGGAGCAATCTTAACTCATCCTGGAGATTTAAAGCAGAGTCACCGCAATCCGCTAAAACTTTAACTAGAGGGTTCTCTGTCCCAGGACCCTCAATCAGGGCGCTTTTTGGAGGGTTTACAGGGGGGGTGGAGAGTCATCGAATGACACCAAAACCTTGGAGAAGAGCACCAACGGAAAGCACTGTGTTTTTAGGTGACAGAGGAACTCTACCCAGCACTCTGAAACTCAGTGCTTGATCAAAGGCTAGCGGCATCCCGCTAAAATTTGTGCCTCCATTTTTATGTATTGTACTTCTTGCAGGAGAGCATAATCACTCTGGAGCTATACACACTGGCAGTAGTAACCCATCCTCTCGATGGTATACCGTCACAGGCACCTTTCGGCACTGCTAGTGATCCTGCCCAAAACTCGGACCACTCTGGACAGAGGTTACCTCCCTCCTTTCACAAATATTAGGTAAACCATATTCAATGATTCCATGGAATCGACTACTTTCCAAATCAATTGTCTCTTTATGTACCGCTGAAAGCAAATTGGAAGCAATAGTATCCCTATACACCCTTAGAGCAATAGGTGAGATATGGTCCAAAATAAATATCGCTTTGATGAATGCAATAGTGAAGAACAGTAGATCAGCACTAGAAATGGATGAGATCACATCACAGCTACATGGCACCTTTGGGATCCTTGGCTGAGACATCCCATTTTCTAGGGATATCTTTATATTCTTGTTTACAGGCATTAGCTTTGTTTTTATCATGACGCATATCGGTACTTCTCCTCAAAACTCCTACTCTTCTCTTCCCTGACTTCTTCTCACTCTCT